ACCCCCCCCACCTATCTGTACCTGCTGCAGCATCTCCTCTGTGGCATTCAGCTTCTCCCTGTGCTCTTCAAGACAAAACTCCAAATCTCGAATCTTCTCTCCCTGAGCCTCCACCTGGTCTGTCAACACACTTACCTGGATTTAAAGCAAAGGATCCCCATGAGTTGGAAAGGCTTTGGGACAAAGCATGCTTTATTCTCTACTGGAACAAAACCTCGTATCTCAACACTCACATGGTGGTTTAAAAAACCGAGAAATAGATGGGTATGTGGTAGCACACACCTCTGATCCCAGCACTCAGGAGGCAGAGGCAGGCAGATCTCGATGGGATAGAGGCCAGCCTGGTCTACACAGTGAGTTCCAGGCCAGCTGGGGCTGCAGAACAAAACACATTAACTGCCCCCCTCCCAATAACTAACAAGCTGGAAGTGGTCCTTCCCCTTGATATTTATGTGTTGCTTTGGGCGTGAATGTGCTGGGGCTTGAACCCAGGGCCCCGTGTCTGCTAGGGAGGCACTCTTCCATTGAGCTACACCCCCAGTCCCATATGTTACCTTATGATCTAACGATTCCTATTCAATTTAGGAGCAAGTTGGTGCTGATCAGAAATGTGTGATACTTTACATAGTAAAATCACTTACATTATAAGGGTGTATACAGTGATGGTTTTTAAGGAGGTGAGGAAGTAGTATTAGAGGTTAATATAGGAAAAGAGGCTAATACTGAAACACGTTATCAAGGATCACTCAATCTGATACAAGAAGGAGGGGGTGGTGATAAGGAATTCAAGTTCTACAAGATCATTCAAGACCATCATGATCACAAATGTGTCAAAGCTAAGGAGCAGGGGTGGGTAGGTACAGGTCAGTGAGAGAGCATGTTTAGCATGTAACAAGACATTAAGTTCAGTTCCTAGTACCAAAAAGAAAAAGGAGAGCTGGAGAGATGCTCAGTGGTTAAGAGCACTGGCTGCTCTTGCAGAGGACCTGGGTTCAGTTCCCAGCACCCACATGGCAGCTAACAACCATCTGTAACTCCACTTCCAGGGGCTCCAACGCCCTCTTCTGACCTCCATGGGCTTTGCACAACACGGATGCACTCACATACATGCAGGCAACACATTCATAAACATAAAATAAATTAAATAAAAGAAAAAAGAAAGGAGGGAGGGAGGGAGGACAGGGGAGAGGAAGGAAAGAGAAGAAGAAAGGAGAGGAAGCCGGGTGAGCGCCGCACACTCAGAGGTCCTGAGAAGTGAGGAGGGTCCCCTTCTCCCTCAGTGTTCAAAGCTCCTCTAGTCTCTTCTCCGTGATCACCGGCTGAGTAAATACACTGTGTTTCATTTAGTTCCAAATACAGAAATGAAAACATTTGTCCTGCATTTAAAAACATCACGAGGAAGGGAACAAACGGACCCCACAGCAGGCTCTGCTCATGCCAACGTTTTGTTTGGCCCATGGGGTCATTTTAAAAACCTGAAAGCTGAATATGTATTCAGAATGAGATATATGTATTACTGAGATTTTTATACTATAGATATTCATAAGCCCGAATTTCCATTATATTTTCAATTGTATTTAAAATCAGATCTGATGACAGATGATGTTAAGTCAGACCAGATGACACTAAGCCTGAGTTGAGACCAGAGGAGCAGAGGTGAGGAACTCCTCTGGGTTGGAGACACACACCCTTGGTCCCCTAGTCCGCCCAACCCCATGAGCACTGCTGGTCCAGACACTACTTCTTGTTTGTCTTGTGTTTGAGATGAGGGTCTCATACTATAGCCCAGGCTGGCCCAGCATCCCGAGAGCTGGGATTACAGGTGTGAGACACTACACCTGGCTCCCACTGTACAGCATCTATCAGTAACTGATTGGAGTACTGTAAGCAAATCCACCATTTCAATCTTTGGTAGTCTTTGTAAGAACGGTCTTCCTTTGGAATGTGTGAGGCTGCTACAAGAATCCCTGCGGAGGCCAAAATCATAGCTGCTCGTCTCTTCCTAAAATGGCATGGTACTTACATACACCCTACACACACCTCTTTCTTATACTGTGAATCATCTCTATGTGATGCCACACGAATAGTTATTACATTGTTTAGAGAATAATGCAGTTTAGTATGGGTAAATTGTTCCAGTTTTGATCCTAAGTTGTGAGAACCGCTGTACCCTGGGAACAGAGCGACCTGGAGCGCCACTTGCCTGAAGAACGAGGGATTCCTTGTCGTTCTCTAAGCGAGTGAGCCTTTCTTGGTACACATCTCCATTTCCAGGCAGGTGTCCGTTCATCTAAAAAAGGAGATAATTAATATAGGTGACGACCCCTGTCCGTTAGCACTGACACACTATGAATAAGTAAGACCATGTTTTCAGTTCCAAGAGGCCAAACTAAATGCAGCACAGCTGTCTTTCCCAGAGTGGAAAATACAAGAATTCATTGACTTCAAAATAAGTCAGACAGGCACACAGAGCACTTGAACACAACTGACACCACAACTGACACAACTGACCACCTACGCCACTTCCAAGCAGGCAGCAACCACGGGCCCCTGAAGAACAGCAGCTGCTGCGGACACAGCCCTGGACGTGCATGGTTATGAGAACACCCCCACCCTTTGCCTGAATGACCAGCATCATAACTCTAGGTGTGGATGGTGGTTTGTAACCTGTGATGGCCGTCCGTCCACTCCACCCACAGTTGCACACGGGACTGGAAAAGCCTGTTCATGGAGGAGACGAGCCGGTCGTTTATGCACAGCTGCTTTCTGCTACTCGGCCTCCAAAACACAAGACGGCTCCAGCTCCAGAAGCCTCCAGAGGGCTTTCCCTCTTCCCCCCTGAAGCCTAACCCTCAGTCCATGGCGACCTCCCCCGTAGCACTGGCTAGCTACTCATCAGCACTGTGCTGCCTTCTGTCCTGGCTCCATTAACTTTTTTAAAAATCAATTTATTTTTAATATCTTATTATTTTTATTTTATATATGAGTATACTGGCTGCACGTATCTAAGTGCACCCATGCGTATAATGCCCAGATGGTCAGAAGAGGTATCAGATTCCTTCGAACTGGAGTTACAGACAGTTGTTGGCCACCACGTGGGTGCTGCCAGGTCCTCTGCAAGAGCAGCCAGTGGTCTTAACCACTGAGCATCTCTCCAGCCCCTTCACTCACTTCTTACATGTCTGTCTGTTTGTATAACCCTTTGATGGACTCCTACCCCAAACCCAGGAATCAGCTTGTAACCTTGGAGCACCTGGCTCAGCGCTACGCACGCACCAACGTTTAAAGTCTTTCTCTGTCATCTCTTCCCTGCCTGCTTTTAAAAAAACCCCATTTTGGTCTGTTTACACATAGTGTCAATGTCCAGGAGGAGCCGCTCAGGTAGAAGTAGTTTTTCTTAGATTTTTTTATAGGTAAGAAATGAGACACTGGAAAAGTCTCACAAAGCGTAGGACATCTAGATAGCCACTCTGAAATACAGTACTAGTGTATCTCCCCTACCCCCTTCCTGTTTTCCTTCCCCAACGTCTGAGTCCGGGTGTCACTATGTAGCCCATTGCTGCTTAAAACTAACAGTCCTCCTGCCTCGGCCTCCTGGGATTACAGACCTGCACCACCAGCCCAGCTTGTGCTGCCTCCCTTACAATGTCATTTAAACGCTTCATAACCATACAATAATGACCTTGGAATTTCCTGAATCTTCCTTCAAACAACAATGGAGTTACAACTCCTTTAAGACCTCCCCCCCCCCAAAAAAAACCCATACTCACTTTACCCACCCCCCGGGGGGGTGTGTGTGCATATCTGATGTGACATCTATTGTTTAGAATTAACCTGTATTACCTTTTACCTTTTCACTCCCAAAATCAGTTCTGGGAACAATGAAAGCCAACAAAAGAAAATTGATAAGGGAGGGGGAGGAGGGAGAGAGGGGGAGGGACAGGAGGGGGAGAGGGAGAGAAGAAGAGAGAGGGAGAAAGAATGAAGGAGAGGGAGGAGGGAGTGGGGAAGAGAGGGAGGAGGGAGAGGGAGGAGGAAGAGAAGAGAGGGGGCCTCAGGACGCTCCTTTGAAGGTGTGGGCACACTGGATTACATCTGCCCAGAACCCACAGTAAACTGAGAAACTGACCGGCAGGTGTGCGTGCGTGTTGGGGCGGGTGGGATGCTACACCAGCTGCTGACTGCACAGCTCCACAGTGTCCATAGCACAGCTCCGTTCCTGCTGTTAACTCAAGTGCCCAGAACTGAATGGCAAGAGTCTGATGGCGTGTTCTGAATGACCTCCGTCCCAGGGACTACCATAAACCACTCATAACTCCTGAGGACAGGCTTGGAAAACTGCCAGGGCACCGAGTGCATGTTCCTAATCTCTGAAAGTGCCAAGGTGGGCCCTGGTCAGCTTTAAAGTCCTCGTTTTGAGTGTGAACATGAAGAGGCATCTGCTTTTAAAATCCCACACAGGCAATGTTTCATAAACATACATTTCGTTAGGTTAAAAAACGCTTTATGTTCAGCTAGTACAGGAGGCAAAGCTTTCTTTTTCTCTAAGAGACAGGGGTCTCCCTCTGTTGACCAGGCTAGTCCCAGGCTCAAGCAAACCTCTTGCCTCAGTCCTGAGTGTCTGGGACCATAGTCATGTGCCACGGAGTCAACACAAAGCGTATCAACCTTTTCCTTTGTGATCCTGGGGCTTGAATCTAGGCTCTCACATGTAAGCACTGACGTGCTCTTACTGCTGAGCTCCAGCCCCAGCTCCTTTATTCTGAGTGGAAGAAATTATAGGCAGATCACTAGCGTTTTCTCTCAAAACAAATATGATATAAAAATGAAATGTTTCAGACTGGTTCTTCAAAGTGAAATACTGAAAACTGACGTAAATAGAAGAGTGAACAGAAGACTGCACTGATATTTACAAGTGCTGTAGGACTCAAGATTTGATGATTTAATTTATTTAATGTGTATGAGTGCTTTGCCTGCATGTATGCAAGTGTACCAGTGTCATGGCCTGCACACGCCAGAAGAGGGCATGTCATAGCCCCCTGGAAATGGAATTACAGATGGCTATTAGTTGCCATGTGGGTACTGGGAATCAAATCCAGGTCTTCTGCAAGAGCAGCCAGTGCTTTTAACCACTGAGCATCTCTCCAGCCCCTTACTACAAACTTTTAAGTCCAAAGCATTAGAGACCACCCTAACTTACCATATCCAAATTCTCAGAAATACATTTAAAATAGCGTCAGACAACCCCTACAGCCAACTTTTAACCCAGCTGACTGTAGGTCAACACTGGGATCAATTTGGGGATCCCAACAGACCCAGAGGAGGATTGGGGTGGGACATCCGGCTCGGTAGTCACACTGACACTTTGATTTGCTTAAAAAACTTACCCTATTTGTCAAGTTTTCCTGGCAGGATTAGGAGACAAATATCTAAGTGTTTATCCTTCATAGAGAGTGATCTCATCTGGGAATATGAATTTCCTGAACACACATGGCAGGTGTCAGGTATCACCAAACCATTGTCAACCTAACCTTTCACCATCTAAGGGCAAAGCTTTTTTTTTTTGGTCTTTTTGAGACAGGGTTTCCCTGTAGCCCCAGCTGTCCTGGAACTCACTATGTAGACCAGGCTGGCCTCAAACTCACGGAGATCCGCCTGCCTCTGCCTCCCAAATGCTGGGATTAAAGGCATGCGCCACCACCCCCAGCAGGGCAAAGCTTTTTATTGCATTCATTTATTTATGTGTGTGTGTGTGTGTGGTGTGTGTGTGTGTGGTGTGTGTGGTCTTGGGTATGTGTGTGTGGTGTGTGTGTATGGTGTGTGTGGTGTGTGTGTGTGGTGTGTGTGTGGTCTTGGGTGTGTGTGGTGTGTGTGTGTGGTGTGTGTGTGTGGTGTGTGTGGTATGTGTGTGTGGGGGGTGTGTGTGTGTGTGTGGTATGTGTGTGTGTGGTGTGTGTGTGGTCTTGGGTGTGTGTGGGGTGTGTGTGTGTGGTATGTGTGTGTATGGTGTGTGTGTGGTGAAACTCACGGAGATATGTGTGTGTATGGTGTGTGTGTGGTCTTGGGTGTGTGTGGGGTGTGTGTGTGTGGTGTGTGTGTGGGGGGTGTGTGGTGGGTGTGGTGTGGTGTGTGTGTGTGTGGTGTGTGGGGTGTGTGTGGGTGTGGTATGTGTGTGTGTGGTGTGTGTGTGGTCTTGGGTGTGTGTGGGGTGTGTGTGTGTGTGCAAGTGCACCTGTCATGGACACATGTGGAGGTCAGAGGACAAGTTGCAGGAGTTGGTTCTCTCTTTCCACCATGCGGGTCCCAGAGATTGAACTCAGATCCTTAGGCTTGGTGACAAGCACATTTACCCACTGAGCCATCTCACAGGCCCGAGGGAAAAGTATTTTTATAACACATTTCTTTTAATTATTAAATATTATAAACACACACAAAAGTGTAAGAATGTAATAGATGGACAGATGCTGGCAAGCTGCCTCCGGGCCTCCACTTCTAACCCATCCTTTATTACAGTTAATTTCAAATTTACATGATGTTAGAGAGACTAGCTCTACCTCTGCATGCCACTCAATCTCCAAAGTTTTCCACTTGGCCCATTTGCTACTTTAGTTCGAGTGCTGTTTTCCTGAGGCTAGCCCACAGTCAGCTTCCTAGTTTTTGCACGGCCACTTGGCTTTCTTCTTTTACTGGGTTCCACCTGAAAGCCAGATCAGGCAGCTGTGGTGGCACATGCCTCCAGTCACAGCACGGCCAACAGTGCTGAGGTGAATGTTCTCAGAGTCCAACCCAATTTACACTGATTTTTAAAGCATTCGCTAGCATATGTTAATTACATGTAAAGGTTTCGTTGTATTTACACACATACATGATGCATTCATCCTAGTTACCTCATCACCTCTCTGTTCCATTCACTGCCCCCCCATGTCCCCTCCTCTCTTTCCACACCTTTGTGTGAGCCTGTGTGACCCAGTGAGTTTAATTAGGGTTACTTACGGGAGCATGGACAACTTACCAGTGCCATACACTGAAGAAAATGTCTCTCCCCTGTAATTAGCTGTCTATAGCCACTCAGGAAGGGACAGACGCCAGGAACCCCAACCCCTTTCAATGATGTAATATTGACAAACAAGCCCAGCTGTGCAGGTCCCCTTCAGGTAATCACAGCTGCTGGGTTCAACAGTGCAGTGGCCAGCCTTTGACAATACACCACCCTCCTCCTGCCCTGATTTTTCCCACCCCCTCTTCCAAGATGGTCCTGAGCCTTGAAAGGGTATAATGACAGTACAGACA